TTATTCAAGGAGTAACTGAGAGTTCCTGAACATGATATCAACATCATTCATCAATGTCACTCTGTCAGCAGTACAGCCGAGCTTCATTTACACTCCCTGAAGTCATGTAGATCCGCAGGAAATCAAATCTAAACAGACTGATGCAGCTAAACACCTGATGACATGTTGAACACTGTGTAAATATATACAGCACATGTAATTACACCTAATGCAAAAACGATGGACTGTGCACGCCAGTGAGTGGAAGTTATTGGCCAAGTCTGCATTTAGTACTTTAAAGCCTAAGTGTGCAAACAGATCCTCATTTTTCTTTAGGCTGGATTCAATTCATGTTTAAAGGCTTTATATGTGATTTTTTGATCCAGCAGATGTCGCCCTTGAGCACGAGCATGAAACACAAACAACTTGCACTGCATTGTTGTGTTAGCATGCTAATGCTAGTGATCTTTATTATGCTCATATCTTTACACTGCATGTAAATTTACCTGAAATGAGCGTGATCTAGAAACACAGTTAAGCAGTGAGTACAGAATGTTATTCTTCTTTTCTCTAGTCCCTCAATTGAACAACTTTTATACACGAGGGGAGGAGTCAGCCGGCCGTCCTGGCGATGTAAACAAACTGAAGATAGGACTCTGAAAACATCAGACAGTGGGACTCGGGTGTTACACCCATTGTAGACAGTCATGACTCACAGAGTTATTTTCAGAGGAGATACTTGATTTATATTACATTTAAGTGTGAAAAATCACATATAAAGACTTTAATGTGATGATATGATAAATAGTTAAAAATATACACCAGTGGCCGGCTATTGGACAGAAATTCAAAACCACTTTTGAGTCTGCAGTGCAAGTGGGCAGAAGACGTATTCCTTGTCCTGCTAAAACTTCTGCATAGTGCTACATTTGACTTCTTAATTATTCCTCTTTTGAAGTCTGCAGTTTCTCTGTCATCCATCTCTCCTCCTAGACGCTTCTTCAGTTCTGAAAAAGCTTCCAGTTGCAATCAAGCTTTTCGAACTCCTAATTTGAGCCGACGCTCGTCCATGTGTATAGATAATTAGCATTTTGCAGCTTCAGAGAGGGTTTAGAGAGAGAAAATGACCTTTGAGTTAAAACTCAAAATGCAAAGAAATAATTGCAATAGAGGGAAGATCAAACAAGAAACATGTTAAAAGGAAAGAACAGGAAAAAAAATGTGCAAACAGAAAATAAGACATGAAAAGAAAAGGAGAATTGAATACAAGCGCAGAGGAGAGCAGTGGAGGTGAACCGGCGCTGCAAACCCTGATTATTATTTTGTCCCAGCATTCGAGTCAGTTTTGGTGGCCTGATTTGCAGCGGGAGAGAAGAGGCGGAGGAGGGTAGAGGGTTTGATGATGTCGTGTTGCGGACCCTCACCTTCAAAGGGCGGCCCCTGAAAGGCCCTACTAATCACAACATGTGATGAGACCAGTAGAACAAAGACAGCAGTGCAGAAAATAACAGCGTGGGAACTCTGGTTGAACTTGAAATACAACAAGAGAGGGCTCACCCCCCCCCCTCCTCATCCTCCTCCTCCTCCCCATCCCATCCCCTCCTCTCCCTCTCCCCACTGGTTACACACACACACACACACACACACACACACACACACACACACACACATTCTCAAAGTCGGTACCTAATGTGGATGCACACCTGTGTTTATTGTAACTAAGGCTTCAGGTTATATGTAACTGAATGTAGATCCAACAAAAAATCCCTTACAAGCCTACACACACACACACACACACACACACACACACACACTAATAATGAGTTCGCTGAATGAATGGAGTGCATCTGTGTGTCTGTCCTGCTTTAAGCATAGCCTTGTACAACAACAATAAGATGAAAACAGCCCTAAGTGCTTCCTCTCATTCATAAGAAGCAAACAAGGCAGCCTCCTCTCTCTGTGATGACTACAACGCCGTTCGTTGCTTCCCACTGATAAAGATCACCAAATACAATATTACTACGTGTGGGTGTGTGCGTGTGTGTGTGCGTGTGTGTGTGTGCGTGTGTAGGCCAGCAATGACTTCTCTATAATTCATTGTTTTAAGTTGCTCTTTATTAGAACAACAAATCTAAAACAGTACTTTCCCTCAGAGAGTAATGGCAGTGCGTCTCATTTATAATGCATTATTGTTTGAATTTCTAATGAATCATGGTTTTATGTTTCCTCACTCAATGTTCAAGATGCAGCTTCCCCTTGAACTCCAGTCAAGTCTTTTCTTTTGATCTATTTTAGCTTTACCCATAAATGTATGATTTAATCTTGTTGTTTTCACTTGGGTAGTAGTGTTACATGGGCACATGAAGTCTGCATGATACGTCAATACAAATTGCACTAACTTTGAGATATAGTGCAATGCAATAATGTATTAGAAAATTATGATTGAAGGCTTTCATGTGGAGATTAGATGACATGATTAACTGGTTCTAAAACCAACGTGTGGAAAGCTTAGCTTAGCATACAGACTTATAGTAACAAGTGGAAACAGTTAGCATGCCCTTTCCAACAAAAACAAAAAGGCACATGTAAATCTCAGTCAAATCTTAGGACTGGACTATTGCCTGGCTTTGCATACTTCCTTGAGTCTGCACTGGCTGTTAGCAACTGAACAGAGGCAAGAAATAAACAATAGCTCCCCTGAGACAATAAATAATCATTTTCACAACAGTTTATTTTTCACATTTGAATTAAATATATTGAATATAATGTGTTAATAAGTGAAATGTAGCCTATTGTGTATGGAAAAATGTATGTTAACATAGCAGGGCTAGCTTCTTTCTAAAGCCGCTTTTACATATGCAACTATCTATAATCTTCTTCAAAAACTGTGGCCTTTAAAACGAACAACTGCCTTGTGTAGCTTGATAGCTAGTTATAGGAGTTAGGGTTCTTCCAAATTTTTGTAGGAAAGTGAGTACAAGTTGCAGAAATGCCAAACTCTTCTTGAACTCTTCCCAAATGTTGGGACTATTTCTTCTGTTTACAGGGTTAAGAAACGTTTACTGAATCGTATCTAAGTCAAATTCCTTGTGTGAGAATACCTGGCTAATAAAGCTGATTCTGATGGCTGTCAGAGTCTGTTCAGTCATGACAAAGCTAGTCTCAATGTGTCGCCCTTTACCATTGGCTGTCGGTATGGTAGGCCTATTTGAAATGTGCTGACAATCCGGGGCCCTGCAGGAGACCCTCCACTGAAGAGCTCTGTCTCCACATGCAGTAACAAGAACCCACCATGTATACAAACACACACCAGCAGATCTGTCAAATTATTTGTGGAGTGTGTGTGTGTGTGTGTGTGTGTGTGTGTGTGTGTGTGTGTGTGTGTGTGTGTGTGTGTGTGTGTGACCATTATAGGAGCCACCAGTCTTGTGGTGGTGATGATGTGGAAACTCCGCAGGGGAAAAAGAGGAGGACGGCTTTGATTGCATTCTGCTCTTTTGTTTGGTACTTTGAGACAGACCTTGAAGTCCCCACAGCGTCTTTACCGTGCACGAGGTCTCTCAGTGGGGTAAGATTAGACTTTGGTGGCTTCCTCTGGTTGCGGCAGTGCTCCCTGTCTCTCCTCCCGGGCTGAGTTAGTATTGGATTACAGGTTCACACGCTCGCTCGCAGACCGCCCGTCGCCCCGACCAATTGCTCCATTCATTCCAGTGCCGGAGACGGCCGCCGGCCTCTGATTGGTTATCAGCGCCGGTTAGGGAACTTTCCCACGGCCAGCGCGTGCTGACAGCCGGCCAGCCACTCCTCATCACCACCGGGACACACACGGGGAGGAGGGGGGAGGGGGAGGGGGGGGGGGGGCAAGTCACGGACCGAAAGTCCATTGGACCGCTGTCAAAGTTTCTCCAAAGATCTTCTATGCATAGAACGATGACTCACTCCAGCGGCTAGTGCATAGACTGTAAAAAGAGTGTCACAAACATGATCTTAACTTTGCAGGAAAAGGCCTGACTGGCACATTGGAGGATTGAATTGTCTTTAAAAGGCAAATGAATAAAAAAAATTAGACATAATTTTTGCCAATAAAATAGGCCTACTTGACATAAGCAATGAAGATGTCTTCAATCTTTGGTTTATGTGCAGGATGTCTACATGGTCTTTTCGGTGTGCCCATTCATTTTAGATGAGCACAAGTAATCTTTGTGTTGTCTTGAAAGATGATGCTATGTTTGAGTTAGAAAGTGTTATTCAGAAAAGAGCCTTATAGGGAAATAATTACAAAGATGTTGATCTGAAAAAGCCAATTTAAATATCACTATCGATAGAGTGGGTTCATCTCAAAATCTTTCTTGAACTTGGACGAATAATTAATCCATTAAAACTTCATATTGAAACAGTAGGTCAGTTTAATAATGAGCTCCTCTGAGAAAATGCTCTGAATCTTTTAAACATATCACACATCTGTTAAAATAAAAATAGACCAGAATCTCAAATTCGAAACAAGCACCATGCTGGTTTGAGAAAAATTGGAAATACAAACATTTTTAAATGTAATGACATATGATCAACATTTCTCTAGCAAAAGGTCACAGAATGTAATAGAAATAACTCCAGGACAGCCACAGGGTGGACAAAGTGTTTACTTTTAAACTATTAAACTTTTGCAAAAAAAAAAGTAGAGAAAGTGAAAGTAAATATGAGCATTCATAGGATCTATTCATAAGACCTGGACAACTTTTCAAAACATTTATTTAAGAGTAAATGAAAGTGTTTTCAAAGTTAGATAGAAGACTTCTGATCTCTCTGGCATTCATCCTTCTGTAGTGAGAGGTCTTACCTTTTTGTTTCCTCCCTGAATTTGTCCAAGCGCACTGATGTGTGTTTGGGCCAACTGCCCTGTCACTCAAAATCGCTCCCGCTTTGTGATTGGCTGCTTTGCCGAGAGTCTCCGCCTCTCCTGGCTGGCTCCACAGTTGAAATGACACCGTGGGAAAGCTGAGCGCTTCAAACAGAGAGACGCTCCGGGCAAACCTGGGCAGACGCAGACACAACAGGTTCTCTGAAGGACTACTGTGGACTCAAGCAAAAATGAAACGGAATCACGACTTTAGCTCCTCGGACAGCGAGCTGGATGAAACTATTGAGGTGGAGAAAGAAAGCGCGGATGAGAATGGGTGAGTTATTTTAGCCCTAACGTGATAGCTATGCTTGACTCTTTGTAGATTTAATATCAACGAAACACATGGGGAAGTTCATTTTGATGAAGTCTCACTGTTTCATCTCTTTCAGGAATATCAGCTCTCCCCTGGGTTCAATGTCTCCCACTACATCCACTCAGGTGCAGGCAAGGAAAAGACGTCGAGGAGTAAGTAGCCTACATTAAATGAAAAAAACAAACAAAACAAACAACAGAAAAACGTGTTTGAGTTTGAGCATGTTGCAAAGTTTGGATGAAACTAATCAAATAATGTTCTTCTCTTCAGATAATTGAGAAACGTCGCCGTGACAGGATCAACAACAGCCTCAGCGAGCTCCGCAGGCTCGTTCCCAGCGCTTTCGAAAAACAGGTGAGCAACAGGCACCATCTCGACTTCATTATCACCTTCTCAGAATCCATTTAAAGCCCCAAAATATGGCACCACTTCTCTGCAATTATTTACATCTTATTGTCTCCTCCTCACTTGAAGGGCTCAGCCAAACTGGAAAAGGCAGAGATTTTGCAGATGACTGTTGACCATCTGAAGATGCTTCACGCTGCTGGAGGCAAAGGTATGTCTGGGATCCATTAGATGTTTAAGGTGTTAAAAAAAGAAGGGAAAATCTGGACTAGATAACTTTGTGCCTAATTTCCCATTCTGTAATTTAAAATCATGAATAAACATGTATAAATGTAAAGGAGAGGCCAGCTAGTCTGGCAGGTTTTTATAATTATTTCTGTTGTTCCTTTAATTTCAACAAAGCTTGTTTTCTAGTGTGCAGTTCAGGTGACTTTTTTTAACTCATTTGTTGTCCTCCTGTCCTCTCACCAGGTTATTTTGACGCCCATGCCCTGGCGATGGACTACCGGGGTCTTGGTTTTCGGGAGTGTTTGGCTGAGACGGCTCGCTACCTGAGCATCATTGAAGGTTTAGACGGCACGGACCCTCTGCGGCTCCGCCTGGTCTCTCACCTGAACAACTACGCCAGCCAGAGGGAGGCTCACTCCGGCCTGAGCCACCTGGCGTGGGGCTCCGCATTCGGGTCCCCTCCCGCCCACCTCACGCACCCCCTCCTCCTGCAGCACCAACAAGGGGCCACTTTGGCAGCTTTACCCCGCAGTGCCACCAGCAGCCCGCAAACTCCTCTGTCAACAACATCCACTTCATCCACCTCCTCCTCCTCCTCTTCTTCTTCATCATCATCATTGGTTGCAGAGACTCACGTCCCGGGAAGGCGCAGCGGCAGCGCCACCCCTCACTCAGATCAAGGCCCACTCCGGGTTCCCCACACCACTGCTGGTTCGGCCTCTGTCTCCCACCCTGCTCTGGTCCCCTCAACCTCCAAGCTCTCCCCTCCTCTCCTGTCTTCCCTCTCGGCGTTCCCCTTCCCCTTCAGTGCCTTCCCCCTCCTCTCCCCTGCTACCGCCATCAGCCCTCCAGCTCCAACCTCCAGCGTTGGGAAACCGTACAGACCGTGGGGGATGGAGATAGGAGCGTTCTGACTAAGGTGAAAACCTTCCACGACTTCTGCATAAAGACTCACTTTACTCCCCGGCTGAGCTGGACTTTTAAACGGACAAGACTTTATATTTTTCTCAGCTATGAAAGTTCTATTTTTTCTATGATGTTGACATCCCAAATAGCTATAGGATTTTTATTTTCTTGCTAATGTATTGTGTTTTGTATAGACGGAAAAAAAAAAGCGAGGAGGGAGACCACGACTAAAAAAAGCAACAATGATTTATTGTGATTGATCTGAGTTCCTGCCCACCCCTCTAGAAGTTTCACCCACTGTTTTCAGCCTATCAGGATCACAGCTTTTCCAGATGGTCAAGCACTCCTCGCCCATCAAGTTCCTGGGTGAAACTTCTCCCCCTCTTTATTGTTTTCCCCTCTAAGTTGAAACAGCCAGTGTTAGTGCCCTGGTTACATACAGAGTTGGGGGGCCGGGGAGTGAAAGGAGGGCCTGAGGTGGTCAAGAGTCACCCCCTTTTTAAAGCATTTTATGGGCTGGAATAACCGAAACCAGGTGTTTGTTTGACTCAATACTGGGAACAGAAGTTAGCTACCAGCTTGCTTGAAATAAACATAACCATGATTTACACAAAGCCTCATATGGTGCGTTGTTTAAGCTTCATTCCTTAGGTTTCCTCTGTACTGTAAATGTCTTCCTTTACAAATGGGGCTTCATATGTGTTTTTTTTAACACCAATTTCAAGCAGCCTTCCACATTTCTCATGTAACAGGTGTTTGCATTGTTTTAAATCATCCTGTCTGTAAGTTGTTTTCTTGTACAAGTTTAAAGTAGCAGCGTCAGTAATCATCAAAAAAAGAACTTTTATTTTTTTTAGGCTTCACATCAGTTAAACAAGGCAATAGAGCTCCTTTTAAAAACACTAACTCCTGCTTACCCTCTGATTCTTTGGTTTCTACTGGTAATCCTCACTTTACGTTTGTATATTTGATGGTTGTAAAAAAGCTCAAACAAGCACAGACGAATCAGATTGTTCAGCCTTTTTTTTTTTTTAAAGCTGTTGCTTGTGGTGATGACATCATCCCTGTAATAAAAGAGTTCAGATAAATCACTTGTGGCTTTTATAGCATCTTTTGTACGTGTGCACTTGCATGTCTGTTTGAGCTTGATTGACAGTGTGCATATGGTTAAAATTTGCACGTTTGCAGCTATATTTATATCTGTGTGAGTGTGTGTGTATGTGTGTGTGTGTGTGTGTGGGTGCACTTGCAGTATGTGTCAATGCATTGGTATCAGATGAGGCTGCTTGTTTCTCTCAGCGGCCCTCTTGTGTGTGCACAGGAAACCATTAACAAGGAGGGGATATCCTGGACAATAGCAGCCCGGCTGGCCCCATGCACCGCGTGGGAACTAAAGGAGGAGGAAAGAAGGAGTGAGGGATGGTTGGAAAGGATGAAGAAGGAGAGGAAGAAGGGAGGGATGTGGAGCACAGAGTAGAAAAATGGAGCAGGAGAGGGGGAAGAAAAGAATGGGACAAGGGGGATCAAAAGGAGAGAGAGGGGGACGGAAAAAAAACTGTGAGAAAGGAAGTGTGCACAGAACACTTTTGTCCCTTTGCCATCGTTTCAGCTCGCACCAGCTGCACCCTCTGTTCTCAACTCCTACACGCCGTCCCCTCTTCTTCTTCTAATCCGAAACACTCCAGCCAAAATATCCCTCTCTCTTTCATCTTTCTCTAAAAACGTACACTCCCCTCTTTCCCTTTTGTCGTCTTGCGTCATTTCTCCTTAACCTTGTTCCTCTAGTACTAAAGCTGAGGAAGGGCCAGGTAGTGATGTAAGCTTCACTGCAGCCAAAAAAATGACAAGGTCAATGAGATTTTAGAGCTGAGACAACTTATCTTTTGTCTCCCCCTGCTGGTCATCAGTGGTACTTCATGTACAGGGATTCTAAAAATATGGACACTTTGGAAGGATCGAGGAAGGTATTAGAAGACGTGCTTAGATTTATTTACTGAATTAAAAGTAACCAAAGCAAAAAATTAACAATATTCTGTTAAGTAGAAAGTAGTTAACTTCATAAAATGCACTTTTTTTTATTTAGTTTGAGGTTATTTTCACAACAGCCTGTGTTCATGTTTCTAGCCATATAATTATTATATTGATCTTTATACATTTTAAAAACTAAACATTCATCTACTTTCACATATAGTAATTTAGTATTGTCCTAGATTTTTTTGTGTTATCTTTGCTTTATATAAATTCAAATCTTAACATTATTGTATTGTCTTTTTTATCCAACTATGTATTAATTTTAATATCTTATTGCTTTTATGAGTCGTATTTTCTTTTTTCATTTTTATATATATATTTTTTAATTCTTATTGGTGTGCATTAGTCTCTCAATGATTTTATAAACTACTTTTTCGTCAATAACTTTTCTGCACTCTTGTAAAGCACTTTGAACTGCAATTTAATTTGTCTGAAAGGTGCTATATAAATAAAGTTTGATTGATTGATTGATCTTGCAACACTGCACGTTTCACACTGCTTTGTGTCGTCTTGATGGAAGCAACAATTTGGGATGCAGTTTTATTTCATTGAAGCAGAAATGTGAACCAGGATGACGGTTGATATTGAATCTAGATTTTATAGAGCAGGCTTTTTTAGACTTTGCTGATTGTAAAGTCAATGAATACTAGCGGTGAGTCTAAGCATTACAAAAAATGAAAAAACATAAATTGAAAGATACATTTTTAAACTCAGCACCTGAAGAGTAATGATGGCATTTTACTTATTTAAAGAGACAGCACAGATTAATTATTCATTGTAAAGATTGTAGCCTAATTAACAAAGAAAACAACATTAAGTTGATTCCTTGATGATACATGCTCTGGTATCTGAAAGAAGTCACACTCAAAAGGCAGTTTCATTCACTGAACCCCAAACCTTTATTAACCACTGCTTGCTCACAAAGATATACGTGGAGAGGGGGAAACACACAGATGGACAGAGGAGAGAGAGAGAAAGAGAGAGAGAGAGAGAGAGGCAGGTAGGATGACCACTGTCTTGATGATCTTTTGACAGTTTTTTTACACACTGTAATGGTTTACACTTCACCTGATCAATATCAACATGGCACATACATTCTTTTATCTATCCGCCCTCTCTGAAATACACACACACACACACTCACACACTTCTATGGGCCTTTACCGTGCGTGCGTGTCACCGACAGGCTTCAGCAATCCCTGCTTACAAACTTTTTTGGATACTTTAATACACTCATATACACCTTTACAGATGGAAATACTGTTCTCATGGATCATCGTTGCAGCGATACCTGTTATGGCTTCAATATCTTTCTTGTGCCAACTTTGCAGCGGGCGTTTACAGTGGAGTGAAGTGCAATGATTCCAGTCAGTGCTGCTGATGTTGAGCACTACTCTAGCCTTTTATGAAACGGAGCAAGATTGATGTATTTGTTTTTTTTCTCCCTATTAGATTCACAGTAACAAGTTTGATATTGGGTGAAAGTTTTTATGCATTCCAGCGTTCCTTAATCCTAGTTGTGTTTTTATTACAGTAACATGTGGTTGAGTTGTGATTGGATGCTTGTTTCAGAGGAATATAAGAGGGCACTGGTCGGGGATGTTCTGTGAGCTTTTTTCCAGTGCCAGATGGACAGAATTTAGCAAGCTCCAAACTGAGCTCTGTGCTATGATTGGCTAAACGCCTGCCCATGTGGAGAGCGTGTGAGTGAGTGATTCTACAGTATGTATGTGATGAGATGAAGAGGTTGCAGACGGAGGGGAAGATGGAGGGAAGGATGGGCTCATTAAATGCTATAGTGTTCTCCTCATCTACCTCAGAGGATTGGATGTGCAGTGATGGCCTGCAGTCCCCACAGGAAGCAAACTGTCCCCTTTTCTTCTGCCAATTTTCCTGCACAGGTCCCTCACTAATTGGAACATTGGCAAAAAAAACGGATGGAAAATCACTCGGACCAAGCAGGGATCTGATTTTTGTTTCCGAAAACTGCAGGGTCAAATGAGTGAGTAGCCACTAGAAGGGATCATAGGGAACGGAGCCAGGATACAGGGGGCCTTGTGAGGACTCAGCCAATCACAACATACATCAGCTAGCTGGCAAACTCACAACAAACACCTAGGCCTAAAAAGATCATCAGGCTGAAATGAAGGAACCAATAAAAACATGAAAATGAACAAATAATTACATCCATATATATGCAAGGAGAGGAAACTTATATAGAAAAAAATGGCACACTGCAATCAATACTTTTGCTGCTTGTATCGTACTGTATATAACAAAAAAAGAAGTATTTACAAAAACCAATACCCACTGTCGCTTCTCAATTTGATTTTTCTTTTCTTGTCATTCGAAACGGAGCAAAAACATTCTTTTTTTTGGAAGAGTGGGTGGGAGACATTTTTCCTTCCCTTTTTTTTAAAATGATTTTTTTGCTTTTTTTTTTCCCACCCCCAACCTCATTTGAACCTCCCACTGTCTCGGGGTGGCGTCTCAGGCGGTGGTAGTTTCCTAGAATTATGGGGGTGTATGGCAGGGGGGGGGTTCAGAGGTGGGTATATGCTGGATAAGGTGGGGAGAGAGAGAGGGGTGTTCTTCAGGGTCGGGGAAGTGGCTGTGGGTTGGTGGGTGGGGTTTGGGGGTTGGGATGTTGAACCTGTTGGGGCTTCTCACGCTGTCACTTCTTCTCTCAACTCCTTGTTCTTGCGCACCTCCTGAGCGTGCCTCTCCTGAAAGAAAAACACAAATTGAATTTCTACTCTCAGCGCTTTTCTGACAACATTTCTCTTATTTGACCTTTGCAGTGACAAGCTACTTAATTTTCCGTTCCTGCCTCCTGTCCTCCTCTCTCCCACTCACATTATTCTTTATCTCCCACAAGATTGTATCTCTGTCAGCCTCCTCTATGCTTTCTTTTTACAGCGGTCAAGCAGGTGTACCAGCCTTTCTTACCCTCTGTTTCTTTCCTAGATGTGCCTAATCTTACTTATCTTCTCCCCTTTTCCCACTCTGCACACAGAGCCAGCCGCACAAGCACAGCCTTAGCTTAGACTTGACCTAACAAACATATTAGTGTGAAGTATGTGAAGATCTATACATTTTATTTTAATTAAAAACTGGTTGTATCACACTGTTTAGCTTACCTAGAGTAACTCAAACAAAGCCATCTGAGGAAACTGACAATGCTAAAGTTAGCTTGCTAACTTTCAGACTGAACGAGTTAGCTAAAGGAATACGCTCACATATCTATCCATAAACAAGATAATAATACTGCTAAATACGATGTTACCTGTGAAGATGTGCATTTTCATACCTACATTACTGAACATAAAACGTTTTGCGTATATTAGCATCAGTTAGCAACATCTACGTCTAACTCCCTATGTACAGTAGGCCTACTGTAAAAACATGTAGCATTAATGTTGTAGCTTGTGAGGCATTTGACTTGACCTCTCTGAATATTGTATTCTAGCTACCAGGCTAGGCTTGTAGACATTTTACTGGTACAACAGAAGGTCGTTGGATTTTGTGTAGGAGTTAATGAGCAAATACATTCAGTAGCTGCCTGAGGCAACTAGCGCATAGCTTGGTCAACCAACTGACTAGCAAATGTTGTCCACCTGATATTGGATGTAAAATAGGAAACTACTGCAGTAACGCAGACATAGCTGATTTGACAAATGTTAAATGTCTGTATCTGGAGATGTGCCTTGAATTGGCAAGACTATCAAATAAATTAGTCCAAAAATTACAATCAAACTTTTTGACAAATAGCATCAGTTAGCATAATCAGATATTTCTCATTTAATACAAACTGTGTAAATAGAACTCTAAACATAAACCAGCAGTTATGTTTCAGCATGTGATTTCCTGTTTTATTGGTTGATGGCTTTTTCTTTTAATGATACAACACAATTAAAAGTAGTAAATCACTAGTATCAAATTAGTTATACATTGGTCATGGATTAATAAATAGCTCCTGCAAGCACATTAAGTGCTTTATTTACTACATAAGACACTATGCCAAGAAATAAATATATGAATAGTTTAATGGAAATTTGAA